CAATCTGATACATGTTTGTGGCGCCCACCATGCTAGACGATGTTAGGCACCTTGAACATCAGTAGATACGACTGCCACAAATGCACGCAGCCAGGGTGTACGATACTGTGTAAATTCTATATTAGGGTTCAATATGAGAGCTTACAAACATTAAAGTGGGTTGATTCCGATCTTGGCTCTCCTTCTTAATAATGTATTGAAACCGGACCACTCACAGTTCTTGGTTTCGGGTTTCCGGTTTAGGGTTTAGGAACTTAGGGTCTAGTAGAGTATAGAATAATAAAGAATCCCAAGGACAGTCTTGCAAGCCGTTTCGGGCCTGTGGCGTTTGCCTTTGGATTTAAGGGAAGAGGTTTAGGGTTTAGTGGTTTAGGGTTCAATGGTTTAGGGTTTAGGGTTTAGGAGTTTAGGGTCTAAGCTATCCTAAATCCCAAACCCTACACCCTAAACAGTCAGAAGTGAGCCCCCAGGGCTTCCTTGAAGCAGAACTCGGGTAACCTTAGCAACCTACCTCAAAATCCTCTTCGAATGATTCAAAAAATATTGGTATTAAGGCCTATGATCCCATTTTTAGAAATCCTTAAAACGCCCTTTAGAGGAGCCCGTATAGGGCCCAGAAAGTTTCGGCCAGAGCCTCCAGTTCAAGCATATAGCTACGAGTTTGAGGGTTCAGGGGTTGCTGGAGATTCTGCAATCATAGGCACATAAGCACCATGCAACAGCGACACTAATTTAGTTTAGGGTTTAGGGTCTAACGACACTAATTTAGTTTAGGGTTTAGGGTCTAGGAACAAGCGACATCGCTCAATAGCATCCGGACTTTTGAGGAGAAGGTGCGGATCAAATGATGTATGTGTTTCTTCTTTGTCCTGTTTATTTGTGGATCTTGCTTGCTTTCTTTCGGTTGTTTCTTCCTTGTTCAAGCGTCCGTCCCAACACCTTAAACACCTACCCCCCGAACAAAAAAAATAAAACAAAAACTTAAAAAATAGGTTCCCCCACCTCCAGCACTTGATACACAAGAATTTTAAAGTCCAGGAGTCGTCAAAGAGGTGCTGCTCCAACAATGAATTACATGATGGAGCACTTCTTCTCTTTGGCTATGTCGTCGGCGTTGGCCTCAGCAACAATCGCAGTTGGAATGCTTGTGTTTTGATTACAGTCATTCCGACTGACCAGCCTCGGGATGCGCAGGATCGTTTCCTTGGTCATCTGGACATTCGGCAGTGAACGGTCAGCAAGAGTACTCACTCCGAGGCGCTTGGATGATTCACCAGCTCGGCCTTGGTTGGCTTTTGCGCAACCTGAAGAAGCACTTGCACTTCCCGCGCTGGTGCCAGGGCAAACGTTGCAAAATTACAACACGTCTGCGCCTCGAGCTCGGGTTTTGTCAAGGTGACACCTCGCACAACTATGAAAAGAGCACGCACATGGACACGTCGTGATACTTCGCATCTGCCAATGCTGATGTGACCTCGCCTGCAAGATCTGCAGCGATTCGAAAGAATGACGAATGAACCTGGAGTTTGACACAAAGATTACGGTTGGGACAATCAAAAAGAAGCTCTGTCCTTCAATGAGACACTCACTGTTAGTACAGTACTGCCCACATTCGCTTCCGGCCTGATCTCCTGTCCGCGCGGACACGAAATAGCTGTACAGGTCGTTCTCTTCCGCGAACTGTCCGACCAGGAGGCTTTCAGCACATGACCACCACAAAAAGACATGGAGAGGTGAAGATGCAACCTATTCTCGCGCCTGATTGTGTTTGTCTACTTTCACAGCTCGGATATGCGCCAAGTCGTGCTTGTTTGCCATCAATGCAATATACCTCCAGCTCTCACGTGCTACCGCCAAACAAAACTACCCGAAACAATGCATCATGCTCGCGGAAGCGGTGTCTTGTCGAACGTGCGCTTGACCAGGAACAACCAGTCCTGCCCAAGACTGCCAACCCTGCCGCCCTCTATAAAATGCATCTCCCCTCCTCCAGATGTTGGAAGCTCTGATAGTTGGTAATGTCATAGCAGAGGACGACCTGACTAATGCGGACGTCCCTCTTCTCAAGTGCGTTTGTCAAAGCGTACTGCGAGCAAGCCGCAGCACTGGATCCGTAGATGTAGTTGCTTAACATCTTGCCACCGATGGATTGGCCGCCAATGTCCCATATCTGCAAGCATACCTGTGGCTGAGCCAAAGCCACCGTTCGCTTAAGTTGTTTTTTCTCGGGCTTCTCAAAGAGTATGCAGGTGAATGCAAAGCCATCGGGTCACGTGAATGTCGCCTGGCAGAACCACTCTCTTGACAAAGAAATCCAAGCCTGAGTTCAAGGTGCTCAGCTGAACATATCCTCGCGACCTTCCGAAATGATTTTCTGGCTCATGCCCCTCCACCTCCACATGCAATTCGTATGCCCTGCAAGATGTGCACATCAAAATCGCAGTAGATGTCTAGCAAAATCGGACTGAGTTGGCCGGAAGCAGGCTCTGATCTGGCTCCGACACAGAAACGCCCCCTGCTCCACCCGTTGCACTGTCAGCATACACAAGGATTATCCACGATTCATGCAAAAGCCAGACACATCAAGAGGTTGATCCCATTCGGTCTGTGGGCATCCAGCCTCACCCAGATGCAGACCTCCATCACCTCCCTGACACGTCCCCTCCCGCATGTACCGCTTTCATACTGATGCCTCTTCCACCGAATGCTAGCATGTTCCGTGTTACTCAGCGCTGCCACGAACAATGCAGCAAGATCCGGCTTCTGCCCTGAAGATGGCGAACTCTGGATCTGCATTCTGAATTCTGCTGGTCGCCACACATAAGAGCGGCGCCTATCGTTTGCTTGTACTGCTTGGCAAAGTGATCCTGCAGTCCAGACAGGAAGCATGTCCATTTTTGACTTTAGTCGTGACTCCCACCTTGTGTCTCACGCATTCTGCCGCACAGCAACATATTGCTGTCGTCTACTCGTACTTAAGGGCATAATGCTAGACAGAACTCGTCCAAAGCGTGAGCACCCCCGTCATGCTGCTGAGAGTCGAAGTGCTGCAAACTGGTGCGGCACGGTTCCACCCGTTTCAGTGTCACTCGGCTTGCTTGCGACAACTCCATCTACGTGCCATCACAGAGATCCCTTTGGAAGGCATGGTCCCCTAGAAGGTTTACATAGGACTGAGCTGCGTCAGGCTTAGATTGCCTGCCTCCTCTTGGCTACCCAAATGCCCAGAAGCCTAGCTCAGGAAGCATCGATTACCTGGCACGTTATCTAAGTCTAAAGAGTCTAAAGTCTACAATGGACTCAAGAAGACTGCAACGGAAAGATGGGGCTACTGGATCATGGGTCAAAGATGTCTGTGTGGCACGACGACATTAAATGAAACTACCCGACTTGCCAAAGGACTGAGACTGACTATAGGCGATTGTGCAAACATGTGCAAACTGAGAGCAAACCGCAGCCTCGCAGAATCGCGTGGCCATCGAAGTCTTTCCAACGGCACCGTCGCCGAGAAGAATTACCTGCATACCCACGAAATGCGAATGCGAGAAGTTGTTGCTCACAGCGAAAGGACCTTGAACTGCAAGTATTCAGGTTCATCTTCATCATCGTCTTCACCCAGCCTAAACGCAAGGAGGGAGTTCGGCCGGCTCCCAACAGAGTCCATGAGCTAGGGACTGCGTTCGCAGCTCGGCCATGACGCACCTACCACTGCTGGAGATGAGAAACATCTTGGGCGGGTTGTCTCATCAACTGTGCCTGCGAAATTGACGGGAGTGCTCGCCCAAACGCTCAGGCAGCTTGGCACAGGATGTGCACTTGCCCTGCCAGGCAGAACCGAATCACATCCAAGTTCCGGACAACATCAAAAAGAATCGAGTCCCGAACGGACCATCGAACCAGTCAAGTTGCACCTTTACGAGCGAGGCTGAACCTCTCCACACATCGCACGAGGACCAGAACTATAAACATTGAGCTTCGGGCTTTGAGACACAAGCGTCTGACTGAAAACGCTGCAGCCCGAACATCGGCAACGAAGAAGCATGCCACGTTTTCTGTGACACCACAAGAGCAGCAAGCCTTCAGCTGAGACCCTGCTGCCATTTTGGACTATGCAGTGGCAATGAGCCACATCGATGGTAAGTTTCCGCACTCTAGCAGACTCCGAACGTGCTGCCCACCTGCCACCAAGCATTTCGAATGACGGACGTGGAAGCGTCACGCCAATGCTCAGCAGAACGCCTGCAACCACCACAGACTGGCCCAAAGCCGTCAGAACAGAACTTCTGAAGAAAGGATTTCTGTAATGTCCTGTATCACCACGGATCCACCACCAGGCATGTTGATCACGGTGCTAACGCTAGTTGGACCGTCTGTGATAGTGAGACTCCCATCCCCCAGCATTCTGATTTGATGGAAGCCTCCCCCTATCCTATCCTCGTAGCTTCGCCCACAGCCCATGAAAGATGGAAGGAAAGCTGTCTCTCACTTTACCAGGCATTGCGGCATTGCCATGCTACAGGGCTACAAGGCTGTGGGGTTTCCTGGCCGCGGAAGCCCTTGTTGGCATCTCACAGCAAGCTGATGAATGGGTCTGCGGAAAGGTGGCGGACGGTAAATCCAGGAACCCAAAAATCAGCAGCTGCAGCGGACCCAGGTTCACGGTGAGAACTGAATTGCAAAACAAAGCTGGTAGTGGTGACCAGATGCAGGCTGAAAGCGCTTCAGACGCCAGATGTCTTCTCTACAAGATCGTCCTGATCGGCATCTCTTTGTTGCCCGGTTCATCCATGGGTTCCAAGTGATGTTTAGCCGATGGCAGGTCTGTCGTCCGAAGCTGAGCAAGCCCACCACGTTGGGAGCATGCTCGCCCATTCCAAGCGGTGCATTCCCGACGGATGTTGCTTCGACTAGCTGGACAAGCGCGTTACGCATGCCAGTCTGAGGAAATCCGTGGTCTTTCCACGCAGTGAAGATCAAGAAATCTCGACAGCATGTCAAGTTCAGCCTCAGGAGCTGCCGACACATAAAGTGTGAATACTCATCTGCACTAGCACGACGTCACGAAAAAGCGAAATAAGAATCCTGGTGCAAATATTTGGCGACTAGGCCGACAGCAGACGTGTGCAGAGACGAACTATTTCATGTCTCGGGCTCGGACCCAGAAATTTCACAGCGTAGGACAGCATGAAAGCAATCTGCCAGCGCATCGTTCGTCACTCACAAGACAGTCTGCCAGGTCATGAACATGGAGCCAACTGCTGCGCACCAGCGCCACCAGAACGATGTGGAACGCATTGTACCCACCACCTTGAACGCACATCCTGCTTAAAGCTGCACCCGAATCCTTATCAGCGAGGAACTGAGGCAAGAACTCTCACCGGAGGATAAACTCTTTGAGGACTTCAGATCTTCTATCTCGGCCTAGCACACCCCCAGCACACCAAACAAAGTCCATGGCGTGCAGAATCCATGCCAATGAAACAACAGGGCAGTTTGCAAGAGCTCCATTTCCGACTCGAGTCGCAATGCCTCTAGCTTTTTCTTCTGCTTTTCTAGCATGAGAGTGTACCTCGTCGAGCGTACACGAACCTTTCACAACCAACAGCTCGCGAAGAAGCCTCGCTAGCGGCTAAGACCGAGGAAGCGGCTGCACCAGCTCATCATACTTTACTTGCAAGTCAACTGGAGCCTGCAAGGATCCACCCAGAGCACGCATGTTCGAGAAGCCCTGGCATCCTGGCATCTGACTAATATATTTACTGAAAGATATTGAAGGCCTCACCGCCTGTCGCTCTGGAGGCATCCACAGGACCACACCTTGGCTTAGCTGAACACGCGCCTTGCTCGTGGTTCTCACATCGACATGAAGGCCTCAGCTTAGGCCACTTAGGCCGCTGCCCAAACCCATAATTATCTTGATGGGGCGCTGATGGTTCTGTTTCAGACTCCTGCAGCGAGAGCAGCGAGTCCAGCCTGTGAGCGAAGCGCAGAGACCAGCCGCGGAGCAGCTGCACCTCGAGGACAACGTTGAGACGCTGTTCCTCGATCTGGTCCTTCTTGAACTCACTCCACTGCTCTCGACCTGAATTTCCGATCCGGACCGGGCCACACTTGACAGGCTTGACAGACCAAAACAGCAGAGATTAGGAACGCACTCACTTGCTGCGACGAACTCACTGCAACTGCCTTCCAAATTGGGTTACAATGACGAACTCACAGGGCGTAAGGCCAAACTGCGCAACAGCCTGAACCAGAAAGCGATGATTCTGGCCCTCTCCTGGCGGCCTCATATCCAGCATGTGTGTTCAAAGCACCACTGCCGGATCTGGTGCAAGTGCCAGGCTGGAGGATTATGGTGACCTCCTCGCTGCCGTGAGGACTGCCAGGGCTGCAGACTGCTTCCATGTGGAGTAGAACCCCGCATTTCCGAACCTGAGGGTTGCTGCACTAGGTCGAACCAGATACGACTTTGGAGCGGTCGTCTTCACCTCAATCAAACTACAGGCACCTTGGCAACATATCGACAGCCTTCCCTCACCTTGAAAGCGACCGGTCCGCTGGTCTTGTTCGTAAGCCGCAGCTTCCTGAACAAGAGCACCCCAAGCAAGAGCAGAGAGCCGTGGCAGACTGAACTCACAATACCAAGCGATTGTAGTCTGTCGGCAAGCCTATTCGGCGACGTGTTTGTCGGCGTTTTACCTTGCGGCTGCTCAATGCAGATACTCTTCTGCCCTCCACAACACCAACAGCTCCTTTTCACAAGGACCGCTTGGTGCCCACACAGAAGTGCAGTGTAGTCGAAGGATCCAGCTCTAGGAGGGTCATTGGCATCCTGCCTGCCAGCGCGGGGAACTGGTGCGTGCATTCTTTCATGAAAGCCTATCGACCACATAGGCTGTCAATTCAGCTTTGCCTGTCTGCGCATCTACAGTACTCACACACGCACACAGAGACATTGGAGAGATACAGATTTTGCTGTCTTCCTGATTGGGGTTTCAAGTCCTACACCGCCTGACCGTGGTGAACTTGTGGACAATTCCGAGCTCCAAATACAAGAAATCATTCGTTCCGACTCCATTAACCATCTGCTGGCATCCTCCAGTTGTGCGAGTGCTGGTTTTTGGGCAACATGCAGCCTGCCTGCACCCCCACTCCAGGTGTGCAGCTAAGGACCTCAAACAACACATACGAAGAGACAGCAGCAGCACAGCAGCTCGTCACTCTCTGCACTTCCTGCAACTCGGCCAAGAGCTTAACGGCCTTCGGCACAACTGGCGTGCTTAGTCGGGATGCAGGTGTGGGCCAGAATCATGCACGGCGCAGTTCAAACTCTGACATTCCCAGCAAGCCGCGATGACAAAAGCGTCAATCAAGTGCCGCAGCAAGAAGTGGAGTCGCGTTGACACACAGCTGAGTTTCGCAACCAAGCGAGCCTTGCAGCCTTTGGCAAGGGGTTTAGACTGGTTCCAGATCGGAGCAAGCAGCTCTTTGGCAGGCGCCGCCGAGACAGAGAGCCTAGCTTCTAGCGTGACATGTCCATTCGACGGTTCAGCTCTCGATACAGCCTGCAACCAGAGCAAGTGCTTGCAGCCGTCAGGTTATACACTTTCCGGAGCTGTCTCAAACACACATCTCAGGAGAATGCTCTGTGGCTGTCTGAATGTCAACACAGCGAGTCACGTTATGTCATGGGGAGGACACCGCCTGTCAAGTTCTTCCTCAGCCGCGGCTGTTTCATCGATGCTTTTGGAGCCCAAGCTATCCGATGCCTTGCAGCGAAGCCACCCAACCCTCCCTGTTCTTGTCACTCATGCCAGTCTGCTTGCTGCCAAGCCTGCCTTGAGCACTGGATAGCCTCCAGATGTATCAGACTGGGCCCAGAGGGCTGGAAAGAGGGCTCACACAACCCAACACTGTGCAGCCCAAGTACCATTGACACGCATCGGCAAGTATCGTCCATCAGCCACCTGAAGGCAAATCCCACAAGGTCGCCATAGCTTACACGAACGACCGAAGACCGGTACCTTGAGCCAGCCGTCACCTTGGTCTTCGCCACGCACCACAGAGTTCCATGGCCTTCAGCTGTCAAGCCGCGGAACCTCAAATGGCTAAGAGTTGCTGATAGCTGAGCTCATGAACGCTCCCCCCAGCTCCCCGGGTCGAACATCCTCCGTGACAGCGCGATTTTACCGGTGAAAGAGAAATAGCACAGAGGCAGCCTTGTCATTCAGATCTCTGCTGAAGCGGTAGCCAAGTCCACCACATGAAGCTTGCAGCCTGAGACATGACTCTGCATGACATCTTGCAATGCCTCTAATGTCGGACAAGCTGGGACAGTCACCAAGTGTTGTCCACCAAGAAAGTCTTCGTCACCTCGTGAAAGGAAGAACTGGGCCAGGCTTGAAATTGCTCGCGATCCGTGAGGCCAGGACAACCGGAAGTACCCATCGAAATCCGTCACTAGTGTCGAGCAGCGGGATCCATCCTGAAAGCATTGGTCTTCCAATCCGTGCCAGCGGCTGACATGCCTGGCAAAACCATTACATGCTGCCCACGGTGCAAGCAATCCCATTAAGGAGAGACGCAGAGAATAGCAGCCAAGCATGCTCTGGTTGCACAAGTAGCGAGTTTTGCTCAGACTTGTAACCCCAGATATTACGCTATGAGACCGCCGACAACAGGATTCTTGCAGGTTGTAGACCCTGGTGACTGCAAGATTCTACTACATTGATCGCAGGAACGTGCAGACAACGCGCATGGCCATGGGATTCATGAAGCATCGAGAATGAAGCAGCAACATCATATCCAATCCACTCTCCTTGCAGCTGCTGCACCTTGTGGATCATCGATGAGCCCACGCACTCTCTGCTCAGATGGGCAGTTCAGCACCTGATCGCTAAAAAACATTTCTCGAGTCCCAAGACATTGCTCTCTGCTCAGCATGGCACCTGTTGCACGGAAACCTGCTGGCCAGCTGCCAGGTGGCCCACGGCGTCGCGATCGCTGCAACCGGTGGAAGTCCTGTACACCGCTGTCCCAGCCATCACCTCGCAAACTACTGCCTCAAGAAACCTAGAAATGGAAGCGAGACCAGACGACCCCTGCAGGCCTTGTACACGCCAGGTTGTATGTCCTGCAGGGGTTTGAACAAGCATGTCGTCGGGCCGTCGGGGACACACAGCTTGTGTATATCTCCCTGCCTGGTCACTGGCGTCTTGTGCCACACCCGCAAGACTCGGTGTAAGGCGGAGTTCATCTCGGCATGACGATAATAACTTTTGGAGTAAGAGCTGGGCATAGCCCCAGCGCCTCGGCCCTGCAACTCGGATGGACGATTGAATGCTGGAGCATTCTGCACAACATGCTGCACCTCGCTACCTCCTTCGATGAGGACTTCGTACTCGAGCTCCCCTTCTGCTGGCGCAACTGCAGAAGACCCTCGTAACTGGTCTTTTTTCCTGACCCACTTTCCAGTTGGAATGCCATTCAGCGAGAGCGATGTTTTGCCCAGCGTGTCGTCAACGAACATGTTGGAGTTGAACACTTCCAATTCCAGAAGGTTTGGTGCAGCATTGAAGTCGAAAGTGAAGTCTCGACCGTCTGTCCATACCGGATCAAGATTGTTGTCGATGACCGGGGTTTGACGATGCTCTTTTCCGAGACGAACCACAACATACGGATCGGACTTGTTGCCGAAAAAGCTACCGATGTCCATGTTCCGCAAACCGTTTGCAGAAAGTATGCGAACGTGCAACAGCGGCGCTTTGCTGGCACTGTCAGGTTTAGGCTGAGACTCACCAAGGCCTGGGGCAGTATTTCCCAGCAAGCCAACGACATCGGATCTGCGGTTTGAAAGACCACTTTGTGGAACTGCTGCGTCAATGCGGAGTTGCGTCTGAGGTACCGTCGGACGCTCTGGTGGCAGTGTTGAACTCAAGGTCGACGGCCTGCTGAATTGCCCAGCTCTCGGATCTGGTGCTTGAGACCCGGAAAACGGAATGCAAAGCGTCGTCGGCTCTCCACCAAAGAATGACAGCCAGCTGCCCACGGGCTTGGATTGCAATGCCCAGCCTCGGCCATCTTGGAGTCTGAGAAATGTCATGCCAGCTTGGGTTGCGGTATCCACAACAGTGAAGATGTCGCCAGGATGCAGAACATGCTGCGACTTTGGCCCATCAAGGCTGGGAGAAAGCAGAATTTGCATGGGGGCACCGTCCTGCGGCAGATACCGCCACTGCTCTATTCGCGGTGGGGCCATGGGGGCGTGCTGTTTCAAGTCGTGAAGGGATCGCTCTTCCTGCGCCAATCGCGCATGAAGTTGATCCAGCTCCCTTTGCGAGGGCATGGCAAGAGCTGGTGAGTGCATCATGTGCGGATGGAAGCTTGACATGCCCTTGGTTGCAGTGTCAGATGCAGCAAAGACAAAACGACCAAGCTGGTTAAAGGCACCATCCAAGGACCATGGCTCAAATGACTCAAATATCACTGTCCCAAACAGGCACTCCGTTCAGCCCAAAAAGCGGACGGCAGGCTCAATCAAAGCCACGACGACTCACTACCGCGACCATTCAGACAAGGCTGAGATGAAAAACAGGCTCTTTGCGCCACTGCTGTGCAGCGCCTGTACCATTCTTCACTTCAGTGACGGAGTGAGCGAGACAAACCCTGAAGGGCTGAAGGATAAGGATTCCGGGATGCGGGCTTGGAGTTTGCATGGCTTGCGTGAGAATTGAGACGACGCCACCTCAACAACTTCTACCTTCTAAATACCAACAATGCTTGGTCTCAGAACCGACCTGACCCTGATAGGGCAAACAGATTCAAAACTGTTTTCAAGAAAATCGTACATGTGGAAAACTGGCAACCTCACTCCCATCGTAAGGATTCCAGCCGTCTTCCGACGAATCGTACATATAATCCAACATAACCCAACTCCTGTTGCTGGCATGTGCTGGCGTGTAGGGCTGAAACTCTTGTCGCAAATATCAGAATGACTGCCTGATACACGGATCTGCCTTGGTGAAAGAGTCCGAAGCATAGCTCTTCCAGGATGTCAAAACGACTACTGAGCCTCAAGCTTCCCTTCCGTGATCTAGGGATTTGGATTTGGCTCAGTTGGCGCAGCCCCCTCCTAAATGTCCGGGGATCACGATGGATGCGCGTGGCCCCTGGCTATGAGGACCTCATGCAAAAAACACACACACTTGGGGGCTTGTGCATGTGACGAATGTCACGGATTCTTCGTTTTGCGGTCATGCTTGGCTTCGTAAGCCTCTGCACAGCGTTGCACTGGGCTGGCATGGAGGGAGGATCCGCACTTTGGCAGTCGGGAAGAGCAGCTGCCAAGGTCTGCTTGTCCACAGCTTGCGGCGCTGCTTCCACATCTGCCGTCAGATCGAGACCGACATGATGACCATGGAAGGGCCCTCCTGCTCTGTTCCAGTCCGGTTACATTACATCCCAACACACTTCACAGTATCCTAGTCCTGCCTTCGACTTGTGTGTGGGCAGACTCAGATGAAATGCTTCTTCTCGTAGTATCTCATCCTGACAGCCGGGTGGCACGACATGTGTCTTGACCAGAGGCTGTCAGTGTCCTGTTCCACATCAGTACTCCAATTGTCACCGTGGCCACTAGAAGAACCACCAACATCCAAGACCTTCAGGAATCCTAGTCCGGATGAATGCTCTTGTCTGCGACTGGACCTCAACATGCCCGTTGACAGCTGGCACTCTGTAAGTTCATTGCATCTGCGAACTTCTGGACACGACCTGGGCGCTTGAACGCAACACTGCAGCCCAAGGCTGTCACAGCAGGCTTGAGTTGCACACGCTCTTCTCAAGCACAGAGGTTTGGTCGACGATCTTGGAGATGGACGACCCGGCGGCCTAAGAGGTCTTAGACCACAGGTTGGTGCAGGTTATGGCCTCGCTGAGCACTCGCGTGTGCTGCGCACGTGCCTTGTCGGCTTGCTGCTTGACTTCGTTTAAATTCTTCTGCACGGCCTCACCACTGAGAGTGTAATCAAAACGAACGACTGCAAGCAACTCAGACCACCGGACAGGAACTTGAGATGCTCATGCAAGAATCAACCAAGGTATAACTCGCTGTTCTTAGTTGTTCAATCCCGACAGAAATCGAGAAGCAGAACGAGATCCCACGGCCTCGAGCTTGTGCATGTGAGCTGCCCCCTCCTGGTGTGCTGTTCCGAATCCTATGCTGCATCCGGAGACATGCGTCCATCATCCACCAAAGTCCTTGTCCAGTAGCCTGCGGAGCCCCATAATGTGGACCTCATGAATGTACAGGCAGGCCATCCAACAGCTCTCACGGAGCAACTAGGAGGTGTGACTCTTGCCATATCACCGAAAGGTTACAAAAACGACGAACGGGAAATGTTTCCACGAGTCTGCACAAACGAAGCACCGCACCTTCATCTCCTGCAAATTTGTCGCCTTCTTTGGTGTCCTCGGAACATCTGTGAGTCATGTATAAAGGGTTTTGAAACAGTCTTTTGGCGACTTATATCCAGTAGCAAACCAGCCTTCTGCATGCGCCCCAAACTGCAAAACGCTGGGACTTCTGAGACCCGGAAGGACAGAGGCATACCTACATGCACACGGCTGCCTGGATGTGATCTGCGGTGCGAACACTGTGTATGAGATATGTGTATATAACACACACGCACACACAGACTGCAATGTCCACGGGTGATGTGGCGCACTATGATTCGACATCACACTAGTTTTCGATTCAGATCGTTCCACACACTCGGAGCCTCAGCCTGAATCGAGTGCATTCTCCGGCGCTAGCCGCTTAAAGCCGAACCTCTTGCCCGAGGTAGAAGTGCAAGCAATCGCAATAGACTGGTATGCTGAACAGCTTCCGAAGGGGCACCCTGTATCCTTCACCAGTTTAAAACGGCAAACCCTCTCAGCCAGTCCAACACTTCCTGTAAAGCCTCCGGCTCGAACCACAAGTCAGTTTGCTTCCGGAGAGCGTACACACAAGTGCTGCCGAGTAGTATTACTAATTGCTGGTGCTTGCATCAGCCGTGATGATTCGACCAAGGCAACGTATATGGTTGCTGTTTTCTGCATGACATACTCGGTGAGCATGGTCGCCTAGGCCGGCGGACAGATGATAAAGCCGAAAAGCTAAAAAAAGGAGGGGGAGGGACAGCAGTACACAGTCAGCAGCGAGGAGCGCGAGCAGGAGACAGAAGAAAGACAGACAGCAATCAACAAACAGCCAGACAGGCATGGCTGGAAGGCAGACAGGCAGACAGGCAGACAGACAGACACACAGATAGACACAGATAGACACAGAGAGACACACAGACAGACAGACACACAGACAGTCAGTCAGTCAGGCAGACAGACAGAGACAGACAGAGACAGACAGGGAGAGACACAGACAGACAACACCCTGGCTGACTGACTGACTGACACAGACGGACAGACAGGAGAAAGCCACACAGAAAGCGAGAGAAGTCAGAGACAGAGAGAGACAGAGAGAGATAGAGAAAGAAAGAGAAGAAACAAACAGAGAGGAAGAGAAGGCTGACAGGGAAAGCAAGGAGGAAAGGTGAAAACGCTTAGCAAGAGCACGTGGGCCTCATCTCATCAACAGGCTTTTGCAAAGCCAACACTGTCTTGCATGTTTCTCACGAACGCTCGATGGACACGTAAGTGTCACAATTAAACTCGTTGCATACTGCCTGCTACCTTCCCTGGACTCGGAAACATGGATGTTGATGAAGCGCATCCTGATGAGCAACCTCCATTCCTCAGCCATTGTGAGTGTAGCGATTGTCCGTGATTGGCGATGCGTCAGGGTTGGTTTGTGCGTAAGCCTAGCAGGGCCTAGCACCGTACATGTCGAGGCCGAGGGTTGAAGCCGTGTGCAACACACTTCACGTCCCGAAGACTCTGATTCGGCAACACTTAACTGGGCTCGCTGCTTCGCGCTCTTCGGATCTGCAGCCAGGACCTGCATCTCTTTCGTCAGGACCCGGCAGTCACGGTCCAACCTGAAGGAAAGCAGACACTGACCCTAGTCCTTGCGACATCTGGCCGACAAGTTGGTAAGACTGCCGCTTGTTGAGGGATTCCATCAGGCTTGAGACCTGGAAGGCCATTACATCGTACGTCGGCCTGGCAGCATGTCTCAATAGAGTGTGGGCAGAAGGGCACTCGTCCCTGGGGATGCGGCTTCGTCTCGTTCAGATGTGCAGACAACCTTCGCGCGACGGACTGTCTTCATGAGAATAGGACAATTGCAAGATTCGACCGGGATTCAGGCATGGATGTTATTCTTCCGATGTGCTCAGTCTGAGCCTGCTGGTCCTGGAAGTATCTCGAATCCTCTGACATCAATGCTTCGTACCTCACACCATCAAGCCGGAATGTTTGCTATGCAACTGCCGGTTTCTGAATCCTGTTTCTCTAGATGCCACTCTGGAGCACGCAATCTTATCCTTGGCGCTGGCCCCCATGATATTTTCACCGACTGCCTGGACAGTAACTCGAGAGATCGAGAGTTCCACTTGGCAGCAGCCCTAGGTCGTGTCGAGCCGAAGTCAAACCCAGACAACGCTGACTGCCATGTGTGCACAGACTGGGGGCGGAAAAAAGCAAGTACAAAGCAGACCTGGTCATCGAAGTTCACCACCTGCACCTGCAGAGGCCCAAATATTCCGATGACTTTACAAAGTAGCTCACTGATCACAAGCACGGACGGGCCTTTGTCAGCGACACGCCATCTGGGAATTTGTTGACTTCTGCTGAACCTTCGACAAGCTGGACTTGTGTTGCCAACTCACTATTCCCCTGAAAATGCCAGTCACACAACATCTTTGCGAGCCGCACAGCAACAAGTTCATGTCACGTCCGGCTGTACAAGTTTGCCGTTCATTGATGGCATACCTAAAATCTCCAGAATCTGCAACTGGGCAATAGGATTTGCCGAAGAAGCTGCCCCGAGCAAGTATGGAGTGGCCGCGGGGTGGAGCGGGGAGTGAAGAGCAAGTGGGGAGAAAGCAAAATTGAAGAGTAAAGCCGAACAGCTCTTGTGGGGCGCCGTGTCTAGCGAAGTGCCTAACGAAGCTGCTGTTGGGGCCTTCCTTGGTGCAGGTCTTGCGGAAGTTCTGGCTGGACGGTTTGGAGTACTGCCCTCGGCTGGCACGGAACCAGCCAGGGTCGTCAAAATGTCGCGGACACTTGACATCCAGCTTGATGGGACACCCGCAGGACACA